TTTGTAGAATCATAAGAAACTCTTGCTTTCTGCTGGCTTGAGAATCTGCTGCCCACATCATTATCATAATAGACTCCCAAAGCATGATGAGAACAGAGGAGAAAGTAAACTCTGTGCAGAGTGGCAAGCATTGCTTCAGAGGTAGCAGGTAATGATCATCCTTTAGATATTTTTTCCAAGACATGATGGTTTGCAGGGAAAACAAAAAGGCAGACAGATTGGCTGGTTCTTCACCAGCTGATAGTGAAATCATGCATGACAAGATCGACTTTGGCAGCAAGTAAAAAATGCAACAGAGTGAATGGACCATCAGGGTCAGTAGAGAATAATGTAGCAGTAAGAGACCAAGAGATCTAGCCAGCATTCAAAACAAGGAACAATGCTGGCTGCTGAAGATGAGAAGATGGAACAAGGTGTTTATGGGAATATTATGAGTGTTCTGATGTCAGTTGTTGCTGAACTGAATTCAACCCTACCAGTTATACTGCAAAAGAAAATGAAAGAGCCCACAGACCAGCCATGTCTGCAGTGGATGGTGGAAGAGGAATTATGGATAAGGAAGACATATTGAATGTGCTGCGCTTTAGAGACTTTAGGACGTTGGAAATGGGTATTTAGTGAGGACAAGTTTGCAGAAACCAACTGCGAAGCAAAGAAAGAAGATATGCCAATCAACTCCTACTGGTACGTTGTACATGAAGACATTGAGATGGCTGTTGCATTGAAGGACAGAGGACGAATGGGTCAGACTGATGTGCGAGGATGTCGATACAGATAACAAGCAACAAGTATTACTATATGTCGCAGACAATTTGACTGACCTGGCTTCTGGCTCAATCTGTACAGGAATGTCTGTCTAGGATCTGGATGGTCTTTCAGTGACAGCTGCAGTAGAGAGCCAGACTTCTTCCATTTCTGCATAAACCACATTCCTGTGAATATAATTTTGATATAATTTGCTTTTGAAAATTCAGACTTTAAAATGCACTATTTCCGTATTTATTTTCTCTTATTCAAGTTTTTTAAATATAAGACAATAAACGCCACTTATAATAATAAAATATGTTAACCTGCTTTGTCAAAAAAAAAAGGGTGGGGGGCATTTATGCCAGCTGCATGTCGAGCATATGATGCTAGCTTCCAATTTGTATAGGCCATCATGCTCAGTTGGTGATTTGGTAATCATGCCATCTGCCTTTACTTCCCAGGACATTATCTGGTACCCATCTTAGGCGGGCTGACCTGGGAGCCATGGTCAATTTTGATAAAATCCACCTCGATGTGGCGGAATCAAACCCAAGACGTTGCGGCCAGAAAGGGAGCGTCTAGCCACTATGACATTCCAGCTCTATGCCTTGCATTGTTTAGAGCTAAAACCCAGTAGAATCTTCCAACTCGTATTAGGAAATTGCAGGGAGTCATACAGGACAGCCAGATACAAAATGCATTAAAGTTTAAACAAACTGAGCGGGGGAGGGGGCGGCATTCAGAACTTTGCACCACAGAATACTGCACATAGGCTACACACATGCAGAGAGATCACAGGTTTGGCTGGATGATATTCCAATGGAGACCAAGCTGTATAGACGAGTGGCAGACTTCAATGGGGTCTGTCATCTTCTCGTAGGAAAAACCACTGGCAGGGACAATGAAAAGGAGAAGATGATGTCAGGAGAAAGCACAAGAGTGTTTTGATTTGTTTTTGCCAATACACAGCTTTAACTGTTTGTCTTGTTGTTACAGTTGCATTTACTGTTCTATGTACTATGTTAGGTGTCCCCTGTACTAATTTACGTACTACGCTAGGTGTCCCCTGTACTAATTTACGTATTACGCTAGGTGTCCCCCTGTACTAATTTACGTACTACGCTACGTGTCCCCTGTACCAATTTACGTACTATGCTACGTGTCCCCTGTACTAACTTATGTACTACACTAGGTGTCCCCTGTACTAATTTATGTACTACGCTAGGTGTCCCCTGTACTAATTTACGTACTACACTAGGTGTCCCCTGTGCTAATTTACGTACCACGCTAGGTGTCCCCTGTACTAATTTACGTACTACGCTAGGTGTCCCCTGTACTAATTTACGTACTACGCTAGGTGTTCCCTGTACTAATTTACGTACTACGCTAGGTGTCCCCTGTACTAATTTACGTACTACGCTAGCTGTCCCCTGTACTAATTTACGTACTACGCTAGCTGTCCCCTGTACTAATTTACGTACTACGCTAGCTGTCCCCTGTACTAATTTACGTACTACGCTAGGTGTCCCCTGTACTAATTTACGTACTACACTAGGTGTCCCCTGTACTAATTTACGTACTACGCTAGGTGTCCCCTGCACTAATTTACGTACTATGCTACGTGTCCCCTGTACTAACTTATGTACTACACTAGGTGTCCCCTGTACTAATTTATGTACTACGCTAGGTGTCCCCTGTACTAATTTATGTACTACGCTAGGTGTCCCCTGTACTAATTTACGTACAACGCTAGGTGTCCCCTGTACTAATTTACGTACTACACTAGGTGTCCCCTGTACTAATTTAGGTACTACACTAGGTGTCCCACGTACTAATTTACGTACCATGCTAGGTGTCCCCTGTACTAATTTACGCACTACGCTAGGTGTCCCCTGTACTAATTTAGGTACTACGCTGTTCAGTGTACTAATTTAAGTACTATGCTAGATGTCCCCTGTACTAATTTAGGTACTACGCTGTTCAGTGTACTAATTTAAGTACTATGCTAGATGTCCCCTGTACTAATTTAAATACTATGCTAGGTGTCCCCTGTACTAATTTACGTACTACGCTAGCTCTCCCCAGTTCTAATTTACGTGCTACGCTAGCTGTCCCCTGTACTAATTTACGCACTACTCTAGGTGTCCCACGTACTAATTTATGCACTACGCTAGCTGTCCCCTGTACTAATTTAGGTACTACGCTGTTCAGTGTACTAATTCAAGTAATATGCTAGATGTCCCCTGTACTAATTTAAATACTATGCTAGGTGTAACAAGGAAAGATCGACTTAGTAACGATGATATCAGGAGGGGAGTCGGCACAAAACCAATAATGAACTTTACAAGTAGACAACAAATCAAATGGTTTGGTTATGTAACGAGATTGGCATCAGATAGGATACCACTGAGAGCAATGCTATATGGATACAACGCAGAAATATACACTGAAAAGCACTTTATTTGAAGTGCACAGAAATGCCCATTGAAGAGATCTCTTCCCACCCTGACGCCGCAAGGCCTTCCAGGAGCAGAGAAAAGAAGAAAATATAAAGTTCCACTTTCATTAGCCCTTTCCAAGAAATCAGTATTAGTTACTGGGGCTCTCACGGTGCCGGGATCCCATTGTGGAGAAGGAAAGAAAAAAACCTTATGTCCCCAACAAGCAGGTCATAAGTTGACTAAATAGGGATGTTTCCTTCACAGTCAGAGTGTATCTGCCTGAGAGGTGTGGAATCAACATTCTGCATACAAATAAGTCAGATCTGTAAAACGGATTTGCACACAAAACTCAGTTTCTGGAACTAGACTATAAAGTCCAGAAGTTGATGAACAACTTGAACTTTTGAAGTGTACAGCTAGTAAATGAGAAGAAGAAGAAGAAGAAGATCTTCTGAAATCATTTCAACTTTTAAAAACATCATTTGTTGATATCATTTCAAGTTCTGACATTACATTTTCTAAAAGCATTCAATCTTCTGAAATGCATCTCTCTCTCTCTCTCACGCACACACACACACACACACACAGGTGCACACAAGCAAACACACACAGAATGCCTCACCCATGTTAACTAAGCCACTGGTGTTGTACAGAGTTCCCAGATGTGGGCCAGACAGAGATAAAAACGTGTACATCTTTGGCAGCAGGTGCAACATTTTTGGCCTGGACAGTGTTGATCTGATTATGATGTTGCCAAGTGAATGGCCTACAAAGCTGAGGACAGAAAGCAATTCACAACTAACGATTATTCAGAACAAGCTTCTACATAATAATTCTAAGCATCGGGCATAAAAAAAAAAGGCTAACAACATGTTATAGCAAAAATACAATATAACAGCAGTTCATCTCAAATATGCCTGTAACGTGAACATTCAGTATCAGTGGACTTGGACTTTTAGTAATTCTTCCTGGTCTCTGGGTAGTGAGATCGGATGCCCGTGTGCATTGTTGCACATGTAAAAAAAATCCCTTGGCAGTTGGATATAAAAAAGAGTAGCTTAACGGCGCTGCCAGGGCAAAACTTGGACAAGTTTTCGTTGACCATCTGATCAGTTCCCTCCACCTTCGTCATTCAGATACAGTGGACTGGATGTTCACAGGTTTGAGGCTGTCCATTTTGTATTGTGTTTTGTGTGTGTGTGGTCTGCTTCTTCATGCTGTTGTTCAAAACATCTCCCTATTTATCCATTACGCATGACCAGACTGCTGGCTCTAACAAAGAGTTGTTCTAAATATAATTCTTGTGTTGTCACAATGTTCCTCCAATGTTTTCAACATTACTGTATAATTACAATTCTTCTGTTATCACAATGTCCTCCAATTTTTTCAACATTACAGTATAATTACAATTTTTCTGTTATCACAATGTCCTCCAATGCTTCCAACATTACAGTATAAATACAATTCTTCTGTTATCAGAATGTTCTCTAATGCTTTCAACATCAGAGGATAAATATTCTTCTGCTGTTACCCTTAAAAAGTTGACTGGCATCTTGTCATTTACAGCTAAGCTGTGATATTTGCACCTTGTGGCCCAACATGTCTGATTTCAGCAAACCCATACTTATGGCTTTTATGACAAGCTTTTTAACTCTTTCAGTCCCAAGGAACGCATCCTACCTTCATAGGTTCCTAAATAGAAGCCCAGTGAATGCAAGATGTGCTGATTAAATGTTTCACTCTATCTTTGATGCTAAGCCCCCTGGGACCAAAAAAAGTTAAGGGGCAGTAGGGCTTATCTATCCCCCCCCCCTTCCCAAAATGGGCTACAAAACCCACATTTAAAGTAAAGTTCCCTTTTCACGCCTTTCGGCGCATCGGGCATATGGGTAGAGCGTCCCATATTTTTACAGACTATCAGCACTCTGTGGGTAATGTGGTCAGCATTACGCCGGCTGTCTTTACTTTCCCAGGACAGCCCATCCTGGTACCCATTTTAGGCTGGGTCGACCTGCGACGTCCCATACCACGACAAAAATCCACGCAGCCTGCAGTGGGTTTCGATCGCGGTATCCTGGCTTACGAGTCGGACTCGCAACGCCTTAGCCACGGACGCCGCAAAACCCACATAGAGAATTAAAAATATACAATAACTGCTTCTTTCAGATTCATTAACAAAATCTGCCTCAAACTTATGACTACCAGGACCATAGACAAACATCCGCTCCACTGCATCACTGTGGGCTCCTTAATGTCCCAGAAAGATGTAGCTGATGTCCGAGGTGGGCAAATATGACAACATCAAACATATAAGTGTTCTACTTAAATATGGGCTCAATATACAGCCCTTGTGGGAAACAACTATTTTATCGGAGTCTCTGACTGAAGATAAGATGAGGAAAAATAAATAAATCTTAAACAAATGAAATACAAAATAGACCACTCTTAAAAATAACTCTGTTCTATAAAAAAAAAAAAAAAATTAATTTATTGACTTCATTTTACTTAACTGTTACTATAGTTGGTTCCTGACAAGATACTGTGAAATATGACGGGCAACAAAGGGTATAATCTATGTTTCATCTTCGTGTTCACAGGCTGTAAACTCCAGTTGAAAGTTTCAGTTCTCATCCACTTCTGGACTTTAGTCTTGTTCCAGAACCTGAGTTGTGCATGCATATCCATTTTACAGATCTGGCTTATTTGTATGCAGACTTTTGGTTTCTTGCTTCTCAGGTACATGCACTCTGACTCTGAAGGCAACTTTTCTAATTAGTCAGCTCCTATGAAACGCTTGTTGGCAGTGGGCCCCCCCCCCCCACAATGGGGCCTTGGAACCCACATGCGGACAATCTATATTTAAGTCATCTTTAATCAAAATTAGAATCGGAAAATATTCCTCAAATGGTCATTACCTGATTCTTGAGACAGGAAAGCCAAAGGTCTCTAGGAAGGTCAGAATTTCATCTACAAGTCTGTCTGTCATTTTGTCAAAGTCTGCAAATGTGTCTTGCTATTAAAAAAATAAAAATAAGAATATATCAACAACAACTTCAAGATTTTAATAATGATTGTCTGTTATTGTGTTTACAGACATAAACATAAAGTAGAAACATTTAAAAAAAAAAAAAAAAAAAAAAAGAAAACAGAAAAAAACATGACAAAAACATCAAAACGTTTCAAGTAGATTCTCAGAATAATTAACCGCTTCACCTTTCTCTTAAAAAAACAAAAAAAAGGTTATCAAGCCATACTGCTATTTCCCATTACCATTCTGTCACTCTGAAGTTCTGTTTTTAACTATTCCTTTAACACAAAGGCGAAGTGGTGAAGCCTTTTGCTTCTCGCTCCGAAGGTTGTTGGTTCATTCCATAGCTGCGCTCTTCAGTTCATGAGTGTAATTTTACAGAGATCCCTGGGGATGGTTGGCGGAACTACAGAGTTCGTGCTCTGCACAGTGCTCTTGGCAGGCGGCTAGCCATTAGGCAGAGCCATACGGGATAAAACCCAGCACAATGAAGTAAATTATCTCGACTTTAACCTTTAAACAATTACTTCAATCTAATGTTTACTATCCCCACTCCCAATGTTTAGAATTCATAACCATGATTATTATCATCATGTAGCAGGTTCTTTGCAAAACGATTCTCTTATTATTAATTCCCTGAAAGAAAACTCGTCTCTCAATAGATCTGTACTTTCCATCCAAGGGATCACTTATACCCAGAGCCAGTCTTCGGGCTGCCTGGCACCCATCTCTCTTTCCTGGTACCATGCCTTCTGCTACTTTCCAATCCGCCGTGGCATTTGAGAGGGCCAAAATATTTCAGTTTTCAAGACAAGATGCTGTTTTCTTGATGTTCACATCTTTCAGTATCCATGATTATCACATAAACATTGATTTATCTTTTTCTTCTTTTTCAGCTAATATGTACTTTGTGCTGCTAGGTGTCACAGTTTTTTTAGATGACTGACTGGTAGCTGAGCTAGGGCATGCTTATTTGGTTGGTATGTTGTGATTTGATTCAAGAACCGACATCACAGCACTTGTGGCATTCCCATACGCACCCAGTCCCTATCTTAAGCAGCCATCGAAGAGTTCCGATACTAATGGAACATTTCTGATTAATTCCAAACTAATTAACCCCCCCCCCCCCCCCCCCCCCCCCACCCTTCTCAGTCAACTTTTCAAGCCCTTTATGTACACAGCTGCAGACATCACCCACCTCCATTGATTTCATTGATTGGTCATCTCTCTCAGACTGGCAGCTCTAAGTGTTTATAGGTCTGTCTGCATATTATCTCTCCACTGTCTTGTTGGTCTGCCAGACGGACTACTCCCATTACTGTTATCTGCCAATCTCTCTATACGCCCTAACGACTACAGTCTATTAGCCCTCATGATGCCAGAAATTAGTGGTGATTTAATCTAGCGGTTCTCAAAATGATTTGAGTAGCAACCCCACTATACAGACGCAAAGTGACCTGCGACTCCACATGTTAAAGACTGGCTTTTTAATAGGATGAATGAAAACACACTGAAAACCAAAAAATAGAGGGGGGGGGGGGTTGTTTTCAGCACTGCGCTGAGCTTCTTCGGACTCAGACTTGAGTTTCAAGAAGAACAGAGCACTTATGGGTAACTACCTGTGTGCCATGATGTTGATCCGTTGTTCAAGGTTTAAAATTATCATAGCTCACCACTGTCCAGCTATTCTACAGAAAACCCTTTGTGACGTTACGGCCCACTCCCTTGGAAAGTACAACACTTTTTAGTGTGACGTCCCGGGTCGTGGGTTCTCTGGATTTGGGTATAAATGATTTATATGTTGAGTAGGGATTTTCCTCTCAACACATCCCCTCCACCAGATTAACTGAACTATTATCTGGGCTATGTTGCTCTCAGACAAAGTCCTGGATATCCAAGAAGACAGCCATATTGGCTCGTTATTTATATTAACTTTAGCTGAACTTGGTACCCACAAGAGAAAGAAATGGGTTTTAGATGTCTATATATTTTTATCTTGAATGATTCACTAGACAGGGCAGTTGACCCAATCCGTCGACCTTCTCTTGGTAAAGAAATTGTATTATTATTTAATGAGCCCCCACCAAATGCTATTCTATCTTATTTGTTTAATTAAACGTGTAAGAACAGACACATTTGGAATTACAAAAACTGATGCAGGATAAGACCATATATTTGATTTATTAACCTAGCAATCAGAGTATGACATTAGTCATCATTATTGTTATAATAGATAGTGATGGTATGGTGGTAATGAGATGCTTCAGCTAGATAACTGAGCACCTAAGATTCGACTGAATGATAATGGTGGTGTTTAGTTACATAAATACATGTTACATAACTTTAGAAAGTGGAACCTCTGAGAGTCCTCGTGTTGAGTCCCTTCTTAGCTGTTCCAATCTTTCCACCCAGTTCTCCTGGTCCTTCCACCTGGTTCCCTGGTTCCCACCTGTTTCTCCAGCTGGCCGAGTTCTAACACAATGTAGTCTCGTGACCGTGATGACCCTCTATTTCTGTTTTTAGAAACGACTGATCCTCACCCACATGGGAGCTGGAAACTTCCAGCTATCGCCAACTAGAATCAAACCATTAGAATTACCTCTAAGGTCGACCTGTTTGTTTGCTCGTGGCAGCGATTCTGACAGAAATTCCAGGGCTTGTCTTATTAATACCCCTATCTGTCTGCAAGGTTAACTCCACCCTCTTCTCGGTTCTACCCAACCCTAAAGGAGATGACCTAAGCCCCTCCTCTGAGGTACCTATTAGATCAACCTAGCTATCAAGGGCCTGTCACTCACAGTGAACAGCCTACAGTACGACCTTGACCAAGATTAAACATTCCTAATTGCCAAACATCTGTTCTCTTGAGAATTTCACTATCATGTGTGAAACTTTCAGACGCTGGACGCCGGCCTGTCTAGAAATGTCTATCAGACCACTAATTCCCCTGCTTCAGTTTGATCACACGGCCCCACTCAGTCTGTGTTATGTAACTTTTTATGACACTAAAGTCGGGTTAAGGGGAGCTAATCAGGTGTGGTACGAAGTTATCTCCCCCTTTACTTGCCTCTACAGACTGGGCAGGAGATAATTATATGACATGGGCGTGAGAAAGGAATTCCTAGCCAAGGTAATATTACCTAAAGCAAGGTTGCTTTGTCTGGCTAGAGGGGAAACACAGTTTAAACAATACTCAAATCCCTTGTAGTGGTTTTAGAACTATTTTAGGCTCAGTGTCTATTGCTTTTAATTCTTTGTCCTTCTCTGAACATAAGAAATTATTAAACACAATATAACTTCTGAGACCACTGAGGTCATTTCGTCACATAGGCCCACGGTTGATTTTGGTCGTAGCTCGCTATGGCCAATGTTTAGACACTCAGTGATTTCTAAGAAGTTTATTTCACTTCTCAGCTCCTTTCTGTCCCAAGGTTTCCTTCGCCAGTATTCCTTGTGGAATCTAGATGTCCTGCATCGTTGTACAGTCACCATATGTCCATTCTTCCAGGCTAAGTCCTTAGTCCTAGAATCATGTAGGCATTCTAAGCAGAAGCTCAGTAATGTCCTTTTATCTGGAAGTTCCTTCTTTCTCCACAATCCGGGAACTCCATTTTTAATCAACCCGTCTTCGCAGTGCTGATATACGTTTGCTGTCACTCGGCTCCTCCCAATCTGTAATGGAAGCGCCTGAAGTGATTTCCTAAACGGATGAGTCACAGTCAGTTTGGTCACCGCTTTTTTCCGCCGTCGTGCACCACTCCTGCTGAAATCTTTCAATCTCCTCTTGATATGAGGGGTATTGTCGTACATCATTATCCCAGGATGTACCCAGAACTTGCCACTGCCTTGTTCTCGGTAGCGCAATAGATCTGTTCTTTCTTGCCGCCTTCTCTCCTTACCCAGACAGCCGCCTAGTCGGTCACATTCTTCAAAGATTGTGTCACAGTCGGAGTCACTGCGTACAAGTGTCTGGCCAGTGTATAAACTGATCAGATCATTCAAACACTTTTGGGTCTTCAAAAGTGATAAGGTGTCATTACTTCTTTTTAAAGTCTCCACCCACTGCTCCACAAAAGTTGCTTCTTCTCTAGTGTTGGCAGACATCCTGGTTTGTCCCGTGTCGCTATCCACATTAGAGTTTACAGGAATATCCTGTACTTTCAGAGTTTCCTCTTGTAGGCACTCTGAGATATCGGGAGGTTTCTCCTCTCGAGTATTCACTTTCTCCCTGGTCGGGCTTTCTGATGCCAAGTCCAGTGAAGATAAATGAAGTGGCGTGTTACTGCCTGTGTCGTCAACCTTTTGGGGGTTGGCGTCAGAACTGAGATTAACTCTCTCTTCATGTGCAGCCGCACTGAAGAGGATAAGAGAAGCAGGTGCCCTGTCATTCTCTGTCTCAGCCTGAATTTCTTCTTCTTGTTCAGCCGAACAGAAGGATATATGAGAGTCGCATAAGGTCTTGCCCTCGCTCTCACTAGTGGCTGGTGTGCCAGTCAAACCGCTGGGTCTATAGTCAAGGCAGTCCTCATTCTTGTGACTACTGTCACCTGTGCTTGGGGTTCTCGTTTTCCTACTACTATTCCTTTTCGGAATGTGCGGATCCCCTTCGTCTTTCTTTGAAGAACTTGAAGGGTTGAAGAAATCAGGTGTGGCTTCCCTGATTCTGATGTCACGCTCGTGACTGTTAACGGTACCCACGGCACTCTTTTTCCTTCCACGATTCAGTTTCTGGTCGGGAGGAATTTTCTCATTTTGCTCGTCTGAGCTAATGGAAATAAGGGGTCCCAGCATTGTAGGTCTGGTCCCTTTTGAAGATTTCTTTTTCTTGTCCCATCTTTTCCTTGTTGGCTTAAGACTGGAAACTAAGGGTCCCGGCATTGTAGCTACGGTCCTGTTAGAAAAATTCTTCTGTTTCCCTAGTATCCCTTTTGGGTTAGTAGGTTTGAGGTACTGTCTGTCTTTTTCGAGGTGGTTTTCATCCTTATCCCTAGCTTCTAAACTTTTGGGAGAAGGGGTGCGCACTTCTAAATTGGGAGGTTGAACCTCTACAATCTGTGCCCTAGAGTCAGTCTGAGGTGTGCTTTCCTCGACTGCACTCATAGTATCATCACCATTTTCTGCTTGCTGTTCAGGCCGCCTTTCTCTGTCATATTCTTTTTGAGTAGACTGTCGCCTTCTCTCGTCTTCTTCGTCGAACTGCTTCAGTTCTCTGAGGAGTTCTGCTCTTATCAGCTGATACTCTCTCTCGCTGTCTATCTCACGCTGGTAGCTTTCTTCGTCTTCTTCTTTCATACGTTGCAACTCCCTCTCGTGCTCTTCTCTTAGAAGTTGTTGCTGCATCTTACTTTCCTCTCTCTCCAGCTGGCGCTTTCTGTTAAGTTCGCTTATACGCTGTATCTCACCCTCTTCTTCTATCTCACGCTGACGCTTCTCCTCTGCAGCAACCCAGGCAATCCTATCATCCCACTGAACCATATGGTAGTTAACAAAGGTCTCTAACTGTGCCCCTACCATGCCGTCTGCTACCCCACATTTTATGCATATTTCTCGGTACTCGGTACGTATATCCATCCTATCTTATTAGATCTATTAAGAAAGAGGTATAATAAGTTCCCGAGTCAGAGTAAGCGAGATAAGTCAGAGCAAGGTACAGTAAATAAGACAACCGAGTATACCACCACCGCAGCACAGAGATGTGAATGAAACAGAGCAGCCTACCAGACTGACAGCTTATAGAATGTTATAGCAGCACAAAGTTACGCCTATAAATGATGTGAAGTAAAATTACATTCAGTCACTAAGCATAACTATCAATGATATGATGTCAACATTCAATGTTCTACAATCTATATCAAATGATGAAACATGCAAGCAAATATAATCACAATCAACTCTATCTAAAATTTACTGAATAAACAATGATCAATGGTTATGAAGTGATCAAGGATAGACAGTTAAATGATACCATCCATTTATTATTTTTTTTTTTTTTAAAGTTATTTTATACTTTATAATCTCTCTCCATGTATAAATTACTAATTTTGATTTATACTATATACTTGCAGAAGTGTTAAAGTTAAATTTAATAAATTTACTATAATTAGTCTAGGAGTGATTGGCCAAGTCCAAATCCCGGACGAGCCCCCAGTGTGACGTTCCGGCCCACTCCCTTGGAAAGTACAACACTTTTAGTGTGACGTCCCGGGTCGTGGGTTCTCTGGATTTGGGTTTAAATGATTTATATGTTGAGTAGGGATTTTCCTCTTAACACATCCCCTCCACCAGATTAACTGAACTATTATCCGGGCTATGTTGCTCTCAGACAAAGTCCTGGATATCCAAGAAAACAGCCATATTGGCTCGTTATTTATATTAACTTTAGCTGAACTTGGTACCCACAAGAGAAAGAAATGGGTTTTAGATGTCTATATATTATTATCTTGAATGATTCACTAGACAGGGCAGTTGACCCAATCCGTCGACCTTCTCTTGGTAAAGAAATTGTATTATTATTATTATTATTATTATTTAATGAGCCCCCACCAAATGCTATTCTATCTTAACAGTTTAATTAAACATGTAAGAACAGACACACTTGGAATTATAAAAACTGATGCAGGATAAGACCATATAATTGATTTATTAACCTAGCAATCAGTTTGACATTAGTCTTTATATTTTTAGTCAATAGTGATGGTATGGTGGTAATGAGATGCTTCAGCTAGATAACTGAGCACCTAAGATTCGACTGAATGATAATGGTGGTGTTTAGTTACATAAATACATGTTACATAACTTTAGAAAGTGGAACCTCTGAGAGTCCTCGTGTTGAGTCCCTTCTTAGCTGTTCCAGTCTTTCCGCCCAGTTCTCCTGGTCCTTCCACCTGGTTCCCTGGTTCCCACCTGTTTCTCAGCTGGCCGAGTTCTAGCACAATGTAGTCTCGTGACCGTGATGACCCTCTATTTCTGTTCTCAGAAGAGACTGATCCTCACCCACATGGGAGCTGGAAACTTCCAGCTATCGCCAACTAGAATCAAACCATTAGAATTACCTCTAAGGTCGACCTGTTTGTTTGCTCGTGGCAGCGATTCTGACAGAAATTCCAGGGCTTGTCTTATTAATACCCCTATCTGTCTGCAAGGTTAACTCCACCCTCTACTAGGTTATACCCAACCCTAAAGGAGATGACCTAAGCCCCTCCTCTGAGGTACCTATTAGATCAACCTAGCTATCAAGGGCCTGTCACTCACAGTGAACAGCCTACAGTACGACCTTGACCAAGATTAAACATTCCTAATTGCCAAACATCTGTTCTCTTGAGAATTTCACTATCATGTGTGAAACTTTCAGACGCTGGACGCCGGCCTGTCTAGAAATGTCTATTCTGACCAGGTGTGATAATTCCCCCTGCAGACTGGGCAGGAGATAATCATAACGGCCCCACTCAGTCTGTGTTATGTAACTTTTTTATGACACTAAGTGGTTTTAGGTTTAGGCTCAATGTCTATGCTAATTCAGCTGTGAACATAAGAAGTTATCAAGATAACCCTGAGACCACTTAGGTCATTTGTCACCCCTACACGACCCCATTTGGTGTCACAACCCATGGCAGGGAACCCATGATTGAAGCAACTAACTGGTACCTCCAGTCTGAATCCTGGTAATGCCATTTCTATGTATGTCCTGACTAACCTCAAGTCAGCACTGTTGCCTGAAATGGTTAAAATGCAATCTCTAATAAGTACAAGAAATAAAGGAAACATGATAGTTTGCCCTTTACCTGCAATTGAAGAAAATACTATATGAGTCTTCTTCTTCTTCTTTGCATTCACCAGCTGTAAACTCTGGTGGAAAGTTCTGGCTGTTCATCCACTTTTAGACTGCAGTCGTGTTCTGGAACATGAGTGTTGCATGTGCATCCATTTTACAGATCTGAGTCATTTGTATGCAGACTGCTGGTTCCTTGTCTCTCAGGCAGATGCAATCTGACTTCAAAGGAAGCTCCCAATTAGTCGACTCTTGCGACATGCTTTTAGGCTGGCAGTGGGTCAATTTTTGTTTTCCCCACAATAGGGCCCCGGAACCCACACAGGGAACTGTATGAGTTATGAGGTGGGTTATCTTCACAGCACTCCACACACATCCATAGGAGTTCGGATTCCCCTTCAACATATACAGCAGCATCCTGCAGTTAATAGTGCCAGTCCTATGCTGGTTAACAAGACTTCTTGTGGGTCCTGTGTGCCTCTCATGCATGGTTGTGCCAATCTTTATTTCCTAGTTTCATATTTTCTGCAGTGATGTGGCTACAATGCTCCCAAAATCCTCCAAACATCCTACCTTTCTAAAGGCATTAACAATGTTAAAATGATCCATGGGTTGGTCATCTGAAACTGATGCAGAACCATCCAGTCTTTCCAAACATACTAATGTATATTCTGTGGAATGTCATGAGAAGGGAAAACTGGAATATATTATAACAATGGGAATAATGGTGGGGAAAAAAAGCAGGGTGAGAGATCCAGATAGAAGATGTTAGTCTAACATCATAGCATGGAAAAACAGCTGCAGCATAAAGCAATGACAGTAGACAAGACAGAAAAGGCTGTGGACAAACATGGTTACCAACACCTCATGAACTGTAAGAAAAAGAAACTTTATTTCCATGACATCTTTACTGGAGACAAGAAGCTGCACAATAACACTAGAGTATTAGAATGTTAATTTATCCTGGTTCAGTAGTCACTAAACTTGAAGTGTTAATTTGTCCTGGTTCAGTAGTCACTAAACTTGAACTGTTAATTTGTCCTGGTTCAGTAGTCACTAAACTTGAAGTGTTAATTTGTCCTGGTTCAGTAGTCACTAAACTTGAAGTGTTAATTTGTCCTAATTCAGTAGTCACTAAACTTGAAGTGTTAATTTGTCCTGGTTCAATAGTCACTAAACTTGCAGTGTTAATTTGTCCTAGTTCAGTAGTCACTAAACTTGAAGTGTTAATCTGTCCCGGTTCAATAGTCACCAAACTTGAAGTGTTAATTTGTCTCGGTTCAATAGTCACTAAACTTGAAGTGTTAATTTGTCCTAGTTTAGTAGTCACTAAACTTCAAGTGTTAATTTGTCCCAGTTCAGTAGTCACTAAACTTGAAGTGTTAATTTGTCCTGGTTCAATAGTCACTAAACTTGAAGTGTTGATTTGTCCTAATTCAGTAGTCACTAAACTTGAAGTGTTAATTTGTCCTGGTTCAATAGTCACTAAACTTGCAGTTTTAATTTGTCCCAGTTCTATAGTCACTAAACTAGAAGTGTTAATTTGTCCCAGTTCTATAGTCATTAAACTTGAAGTGTTAATTTGTCCTAGTTTAGTAGTCACTAAACTTCAAGTGTTAATTTGTCCTAGTTCAGTAGTCACTAAACTTGCAGTGTTGATTTGTCCTCATTCAGTAGTCACTACTCCTCCTGCAGTGTTAATGTGTCCTGGTTCAGTAGTCACTAAACCTGCAGTGTTAATTTATCCTGGTTCAGTAGTCACTAAACCTGCAGTGTTAATTTGTCCCGGTTCAATAGTCACTAAACTTGCAGTTTTAATTTGTCCCGGTTCTATAGTCACTAAACTAGAAGTGTTAATTTGTCCCAGTTCTATAGTCATTAAACTTGAAGTGTTAATTTGTCCTAGCTCAGTAGTCACTAAACTTCAAGTGTTAATTTGTCCTAGTTCAGTAATCACTAAACTTGAAGTGTTAATTTGTCCTAGTTCAGTAGTCATTAAACTTGAAGTGTTAATTTGTCCTGGTTCTATAGTCACTAAACTTGAAGAGTTAATCTGTCCTGGTTCAGTAGTCACTAAACTTGCAGTGTTAATTTGTCCTCATTCAGTAGTCACTACTCCTCCTGCAGTGTTAATGTGTCCTGGTTCAGTAGTCACTAAACCTGCAGCGTTAATTTATCCTGGTTCAGTAGTCACTAAACCTGCAGCGTTAATTTATCCTGGTTCTGTAGTCACTAAACCTGCAGCGTTAATTTATCCCGGTTGAGCAGTAACCCTGCAGTGTTAATCTGTCCTGTTTCAGCATGCATGGACAATAGGAAGACAAGCTGAGAAACACATACTCCTAGCTGAGATGGGACCGTTTTGTTTTAAAAGAAGAATGCAACAAACACCATGGAAACAACAGAAAAGCAACTGAGGCAGTAAGTAGTCTTGGAGACAGATGAAAAACAATAAAATGATCAGAGAAATAAGATGTAGACAATCAGTGTTTTTGTTGTTGTTGTGTGGGCAGAATATGAGAAAGAATGCACTTGGGAACTTGGTACCAACAGGCAAGATTAACACACACAAAAATAGGAAGGCAAAGAGATAAAAATGTGGATGGCTTTGGCATAAAGATGGGATGAGATGAGCACTGACATGATTCATAATTCTGGTGATCATGTAAGACGGTAAAACATGACCATAAATGCTTATCATCAGGATACATGATGACGAAACATTACTACTACTTACTACTTAGTCGCTCCTCTTCTACCTTGGGGTGTAGAGGTTTGCCAGAGAGATCGCCAGACGTCTCTATCAGCAGTTTTCTTTCTGGCTTTGTTCCATTCCAGTCCTCTGTCAGTCAGGGACTGTCGGATGTTGTCTTCCCAGCGCACCCTGGGTCGTCCCGGAGGTCTGGTTCCCTGGTTCTTAGCCTCCCATGCTTGCCATGGTGGCCGATTTTCTCCCATTCTGCACACATGTCCAAACCATCGTAACTGTGACTGATCCACTCGGGTTAGTAAGGGCTGGGTATCAAGATCTTGACGTATTGTCTGATTGCGGACTTTGTCCCTTCTTGTCACTTGGACCACCTTTCTCAGGTATCTCATTTCCGAGGCTTGCAGCTGGCTTCTGTGAGCTGTTGTCATTGCCCATGACTCACACCCATAGGTCAGGACTGGTACATAGGTAGAGCGGTAAACAGCCGTTTTCGTCCTCTTGCCAATTTCTCTTTTGCTAAGAAACCCTCGGTTTATGGCCTGGAAGAGTCTCCCAGCAGCTGCTTTTCGTGTAGCCAGCTGTCTTAATGCCTCCATTTTGGTCTAATACAACTCCAAGGTATTTGAACTGGTTAACCTGCTCCAACGCATACTGACCCATCATGATCTGGTGTTTCTTCTCCTCTCTTGAGATCACCATGGTTTTAGTTTTGGAGACACTGATGGTCATCCCTTTCTTTTCAAGCTCTTCCTTCCAGACCAGTAAGTTGGACTGAAGGTGTGCCTCTGATTTAGCTATCAGGGCCACATCGTCTGCAAAAGCCAGCTCTGATATACAGATTGGTCTCATCTTCCAGTACCCTACAGAGTACTTCTTTGTCTTCTCCTTACAGGTCTTGATGACATCATCCATCATAAGAATGAAGAGGTAAGGTGAGAGAATATCACCTTGTCTAACACCGCTGGTGGTCTTAAATTCTTCTGACTTTTGGTCTACTGTTCTTACATAATTTCTGCACTTTTTGTAGAAACTCTGTATTGCACTGATCAGGGGTGCTGGGATGTTTTTTCCCTGCCAAGCAGTCCCCAGAGCTTGTTCCAGGGTACCTTGTCAAATGCCTTTTCCAGATCCAAAAAACATAAGTGAATCTCACTCTTATATTCCAGGGCTTTTTCACTCATCTGTCTCAGTGTGAAGATAAGGTCTTGAGTACTTCGGTTTGCTCTGAAGCCGCACTGGGCCTCGTCCAGCTGTGGCTCTACCAGACTTCTAAGTCTCTGCTCAAGAATTCTAGAGTAACTTTTACCGGGAATGCTGAGGAGGGATATGCCTCTGTGGTTTTCACATTGTCTGTTATCACCTTTTTTAAATATAGGTATAATGATGGCAATCTCCCAATCTTTTGGTATAGTTTTGCTACACCAGGCTGCCTGGAGAACCTTCAGTAGAAGGCGCTCACCTTCGACTCCCATATATTTGACCATCTCTGGTGTTATACCATCATGACCTGCTGCTTTTCCCAGCTTAATCTTCTCAATAGCTGCCTTCAATTCTTCCATCCTGATGTTATCTTCCCCATGATTGAATTCCTTCTCAGCAGTGAGGTCCATTATTTCTGGGTCATGACTTCCCTCAGCGCCGAGGAGCTCTGAGAAGTATTCTTTCCATCTGCCCATGATATCATTTGTAGAAGTAAGCAGAGCCCCTTCCTTGTCTTTTATGAATTTAAGTGGGCACTCTTTCTCCTTCCTCATGTTCTTAAGGGTCTTGTAGAACAGTTTTTTGGTTTTCTCTTGCATTCTTTTCCAACTTTTCTCCCAAACTCTTCCCATGATTTCTGTTTTGCTTTAAGCACAATATTTTTGGTCTCTGTTCTGAGTGCCACATATTGTTTATATTTTTCTATTTCTTCAGCTGTGTTCCTGGCTGCCAGGTATTGCTTCCACGCCCTTTTCTTTTCTCCTATTTTCAATTTGACTTCTTCTGTCCACCAAGGTGTCCTGTGTCCCCGCCTTCCACTTGGGACTTCACCACATGCTTCTACTGCAGCTGCTGTGAGGATATTCTTGAATCTGCACCAGAGAGTTTCAGTGTCCTCTGATGATTCTTCTTTAGTTCCTATTGCTTTCACTATAAGCTCCTGGTATCTAGCCTTAATATCTGGCTCTCTTAGCTTGTATGCTTTAATCCTCATCCCTTCTTGGTTGCTTGGTTTCTTGCATAGTTGTCGGTGTTGCCTTGTTGGAGCAGTTCTTTCAGTTGTTCTCTTTATTGTGACCAGATAGTGGTCACTTCCAATCTCTGGTCCCCTCATGACTCTGGCATCTCTCACAAACTTGAATGAACTTTTCCTTACTATGGCGTAGTCAATGATGGATTTTTCATTCTTTGAAGGTTCACATCTTGTGTATGCATGTATACGCTTGTGGGGGAATTTTGTGTTTGTAATGACAAGGTTCTGTTCCCTGCAGAATCTGAGAAGTCGCTTGCCATTATCATTCAAAACATCTTCACCATATCTCCCGATCACTCCACCCCATCCAGAGTGATCATTTCCTACTCTGGCATTTAGATCTCCTAGTAGGATAATTTCATCGTGACAGTCATCTATGGTCTTTTGGAGCAGTTCAAAGAATTCTTCTTTAACATCTACTCGCTCATCTTCATTTGGCCCGTACACAATGACAAAATTGACAATTTTATCTTCTTCTTTCAGATCTAACACCATTATTCGCTCTGAGATGAATTTCCATCCCTTGATGTTACTAACTTGATTCCTGGCCACAATACAGCCAACACCTCCCTTGGCTCTCTCCGTCATAGGGACACCACTGTAGAGCAGCATACTTCCATCGTGATCTGTGATTCCTTGCCCCTTTTTCTTGGTTTCAGTCAGAGCCAAGACTCCTAATTTTGCTTTCCTCATCTCCCCTACTAACTCGTTTTCCTTTCCGTTAATGCCTCTTATATTCCATGTTCCATAAATCGTAGTCCGTAAGCCATGCCAGTTCGTCGCCGTTAAGATCCGTCCGGTTTTCTCTCTGTAGTTACTTGTAATCGTGGTTTAAGGCAAACAGGTGATTGGCCTGTTGTGCCTTTGCATGGTGGAGGGATGACGAAACATGATGGTATTAACTCTTTGAGTCCCAATGGGTTTAGCATCACAGGCCCAAGGGATAGTTAGGAGAGACGTAAAGTCGGCGCATCTTGCGTTCATTGAGCTTCTAGTAGGAATCTACGAACGTATGGTGCGTTCCTTGGGACTCAAAGAGTTAAGTTAGTCTTGATTTAGTGAAATTTTGTTTAGGAAATTACACATCTGAAAGTATGTAACATCCAATGCCAGGACTTACCATCCAGCCCATGAACACATACAATGAGATGAATGCCAGGCCCAAAGTCGTCATCTGTGGGAACTTGAAAATATGGGATGCTGGATGCAAGTGTTGGGCATTCACTGGATCATTTGAGAAGAAAATAAAAACATTTACAACAGACTGCACAATTTATTGCCTGGAATATTTTGCTAATCTCATCACCTGCGCACTAGTGTCAACTGACCGTAATGAAACACATATATTACACTTTTAACAGAAATTGGTCAGCGTGATGCTGACCACATCACCCATCAAGCGCTGACTGGTCTATAAAAATATAGATCTATCTCTAAATTCCCAAAGCGCTCAAAGGCGTGTATGATAAGGCCAGCCTAGATTTTTTTGAGCATATTTACTGAATCACCCAGCCACGGCAATGCCATTGATGCAGCCAAAGTCTCCACTTGAGCAACTGGTTGTAACAGCACCAATAAGGGAAAACTGTTTACCATAAGAGAAAGAAAGAGCAATAACACAACGATATGTTGTCGGATATGTTGTCAGACGTAACAAATAAAAGAGTGCCACACTGGCTACCTTATCTTCCAGAAAATGTTAGTTACAAAACCTCATTAATCATAAGCAATTCTAAAACTGCCATACTATGAATTGGTTAATGGCCTACGCTCAGCTGGGAGATAGAGAAGAATGAATACATAAACTTTTCTTTATAAATTTTCATTCATTTTGCCTCAATATATAAATCAAGAATGAAGATGCCGGACAGTTTGATGTCATGGCATGGAAGATCATCTGTGTTAATAAATGACTGAAAGTACATGAGACAGAAGGTTTTGCTTAGACATGACTACCAACGCCACATGCCATTAACTTTAAGAAGAATAACAATAATTACAGTAGTATCTCAGTACACGTAATTAATCTGTTCCTAATCCATGGACGTAAACCAAATAGTATGTGCAGATTAGAAAAGAGGGAGAATTATTAATCTGTTCCTATGTAAAAACAAATCCTACCATTATCAGCATATTATACATAGATGAGGGCTGCACAAAAATAATGAACATACTGCCTAATATTAAATATATAAATACACAAGCAATTAGATTAAATAAATGAAAGTTCAACCTCACTTTAACTTAATGAGAAGTGTCGAGTGCCTACTAGGATAGTAATGAGAAGGCAGGAGAAGGTGATTTTATTGTTTGGAAGCAGAGTCCCCGTCCAATAAAACTTCAAGAATCTGAAATTCCGTTTTTTTTTCATTGCCTCTTTTCGCTACCTGGTCCTGGTTAAGGCTCATCAGGTTTGATTTTAACTAAAAAAAAATATGCCTAAAGGACTCTCATTCTGCCTTCTCCTCTCTTCTCCTTCTCTTCTCTGCCAATATGACACTGTCTGGTCATTCCAGACAAAGCTATTACTGTTTAGGCTTTGTTAGGTGACACTTCTTTGCAAAGTTATCCGTGGCTTTGTCTTGAGAAAGGTAAACAAAGATAGCGTGCAGTGTTGAACTAATTTTCAACTCCTACAAGTTCATATTCCAAACAAAGGTCGTAAACCAAGCAAACGTTTTCACATATAAACAAGCTGTATGTATACCAAAGCGAACATATACTGATGTACCGCTTATTTTAGCATTAAAAACAGATTTGCAAATTTAAAAAAAAATCACAAGTTACTTTAAATATTTATTGTCTTCTTCTTCTTCTTCTTCTCTTCCACCTTGTACCTCATCGAAGTGTCGGGGGGAGATGTAATGTTCGTTGATGAGCTCTGTCAAGAGCACTATTAAGACTGATGTTCATTTCTGTAAGGCTGTTCTTAATGCCATCACTCCATCTTTTCCGAGGTCTTCCACTCGCTTTATACCCGTTGTAACGTTTTAGTGTGGCTCGCTGTGGCAGATAGTACCAGGGCATTCTTGTTAGGTGTCCAAACCATTTCATTTGTTGTTCTTTGATGACCTGTAAGACTGGCTTTATTCCTAGCATTCGTCTGATTTCATGATTTTGTATTCTGTCTTTCCTTGAAACTCCTGCAGCTCTTCTAAGGCATTTCATCTCTGTTGTCACAATTTTACGTTCATTGGAGGATGTAAGTGTCCACGTTTGGCACTGATAGCATAGTATTGGCCAAAAAATAGTTCTGATAAGATTCACTTTAGTACTCTGAGGTATCTGCTTGTGTAATATTTATTGTCAAATATTCAAAATTAGCTGTTGTTGCAAATTTTCATACACAAACATGATGCAGATTACATTTAAATATAAATTTCATTATGCACAGCATAGTATAGTTAACCAGATAATTCATACACATTCAGTACAGTTTACTGATGATGCATCACCCATTTATCAGTTTACCGATACTATTTTACACACATACAACACAGTTTACTGATGATACTTCACAACATTTAGTACAGTTTGATGATAATTCAGAAACATTCAGCACAGATGATAATTGACAAACATATAGTACAGTATACTGATAATACTTCACATACATAAATCAGAGTTTACAGATGATACTTGACACACATATACAGTATAGTTTACTGATGATGCTTCGCATATATACAGCAGACTTTACTGATGAAAATTTATAAATAAACAGCACAGTTTACTGATTATACCTCAAAAACATACAGCATAGTTTACTCATTCAAGCTCATCAATTACTGATAATAATTCACAAAAACATAACAGACAGTTTACCTGTAGAGGTGGCCAGGAAAATTCATGTCCAATTTTAGATTTTCTCTCAGCTGGACAAAACTATGAAGCAAATAATGGCAGCAGTAAAGGAAACAAACAATGGCAGCAGTAAGGAAACAAACAATGGCAGCAGTAAGGAAACAATGGCAGCAGTAAGGAAACACACAATGGCAGCAGTAAGGAAACAAACAATGGCAGCAGTAAGGAAACAATGGCAGCAGTAAGGAAACAATGGCAGCAGTAAGGAAACAATGGCAGCAGTAAGGAAACAAACAATGGCAGCAGTAAGGAAACAATGGCAGCAGTAAGGAAACAAACAATGGCAGCAGTAAGGAAACAAACAATGGCAGCAGTAAGGAAACAATGGCAGCAGTAAGGAAACACACAATGGCAGCAGTAAGGAAACATACAATGGCAGCAGTAAGGAAACACACAATGGCAGCAGTAAGGAAACACACAATGGCAGCAGTAAGGAAACAAACAATGGCAGCAGTAAGGAAACACACAATGGCAGCAGTAAGGAAACAATCAATGGCAGCAGTAAGGAAACAAACAATGGCAGCAGTAAGGAAACAAACAATGGCAGCAGTAAGGAAACAAACAATGACAGCTGTAAGGAAACAAACAATGGCAACAGTAAAAAAAACAAATTATGGCAGCAGTAAGGAAACAAACAATGGCAGCAGTAAGGAAACAAACAATGACAGCTGTAAGTAAACAAACAATGGCAGCGGTAAGGAAACAAACAATGGCAGCAGTAAGGAAACAAACAATGGCAGCTGTAAGGAAACAAACAATGACAGCTGTAAGGAAACAAACAATGGCAGCAGTAAGGAAACAAACAATGGCAGCAGTAAGAAAAAAACAACAATGGCAGCAGTAAGGACAGCAGCAAATGTTACTGATACTAAATAATTAGCCACAACAGAACACAAGTTAACAAAAAACAAGTAATAAATGTCTCCCATCCTGATAAAATAATACATGAAGAAAAAATCTCTATTTATAATTAAACTGAAAAATATAATACAACAGATGATTACAGACACAGATAAATTCAATTTCAAAACTGCTTGACACCGCCTTGAAGCTACCTCGCCTCTTTTCCTAAAGAGGTATAAACCCCCCTCCCCATCCCTTACAGGTTGAAAACCACTGTTTTAGATTATGCTCCATCAAACTGACTGTTAGGAGTTGGGTTATCTTCAAAGACATGTCTTTAGGTTCTCAGACCCCCCCCTCCCCCCTTTTCAACATTCAACATATACATCAATGTCCCATGGCTTAAAGTGCCAAACCTATGCTAGCTGCCAAAACCTCTCATACGCCTGGTGGGGAATGTAGAGATGCTGAACCACAGCTGGTGGTTTACCAGTACCAGGACTCATACTGATCAAGACCTATTTATATCTCTTCGCTGCCATCCTAGAAACACGTTCTCCATTAGGGGTCTGGCCAGCAAAGACAGGATCAACGTTTCCTTTAAAATCAGAGTGATCTGCTTGAGAGGCAAGGAACCAGCAGTCTTCATACAAATAAGTCAGATCTGTAAAAAGGAAGCGCGTGCAACATTCAAGACCTGGAAAAAGATCAAAGTGCAGAAGTGGATGGAAAACACAGACTTTCTGCCAGTTTACAGCTGGCGAAAGTTAAGAAGACGATTATATGTCTAGTATGCCTCTTGTGTCTGGCTGAATTATCTTTACTCTCAGATCTTGATACAGTATAACAGTATACAAAAGCAGACTAGTACTTTAAGACAGCACCAGCTCACCTGACAGTCCTGTGGCCAACAATTGACACCAGCTTTGGTGGTTCGGGTTTAACAGCCTGAGATAACTCTGGGTAAGAAGAGGAGGATGTCAAGAGTGTTCTTCTCTTCTCACTTCCATCTATACTTGTTCTAAACAATGGGGGAAAAAAAAGAAAATACTTGCAAACCGAGCAATACAAGTAGAGGTAACTTTGTCAACCTAATGAATAGTTTTATGAGTAACCAGGATGAAGAACTCTGTCAACCTAATGAATAGTTTTATGAGTAACCAGGATGAAGAACTCTGTCAACTGTGTGAATAGTTTATGAGTAACCAGGATGAAGAACTCTGTCAACTATATGAATAGTTTATGAGTTACCAGAATGAAGAACTCTGTCAACTATATGAATAGTTCATGAGTTACCAGGATGAAGAACTCTGTCAACTGTATGAATAGTTTATGAGTAACCAGGATGAAGAACTGTCAACTGTATAAATAGTTTTATGAGTAACCAGTATGAAGAACTCTGTCAACTGTATGAATAGTTTATGAGTAACCAGGATGAAGAACTCTGTCAACTATATGAATAATTTATAAGCAACCAGGATGAAGAACTCTGTCAACTGTATGAATAGTTTATAAGTAACCAGGATGAAGAACTCTGTCAACTGTATGAATTGTTTATGAGTAACCAGGATGAAGAACTCTGTCAACTGTATGAATAGAGTATGAGTAACCAGGATGAAGAACTCTGTCAACTGTATGAATAGTTTATGAGTAACCAGGATGAAGAACTCTGTCAACTGTATGAATAGTTTATGAGTAACCAGGATGAAGAACTCTGTCAACTATATGAATAGGTTATGAGTAACCAGGATGAAGAACTCTGTCAACTATATGAATAATTTGAGTAACCAGGATGAAGAACTCTGTCAACTATATGAATAGTTTATGAGTAACCAGGATGAAGAACTCTGTCAACTATATGAATAGTTTATGAGTAACCAGGATGAAGAACTCTGTCAACTGTATGAATAGTTTTATCAGTAACCAGGATGAAGAACTCTGTCAACAGTATGAATAGTTTACGAGTAACCAATATAAAGCATTTTTTTTATTATTTGTATTTTTCAATGAAACATACCTTTTTTTGTGTGTGTCGGCTCTGTGGCTAAGTCGATGCGAACGCTTTGTAATGCAGGGATGCTGGGTTCGATCCCAAATGCGGGCCATGTGCCTTGCGTTGGTTTCGACAGTGGTATTAAAGAAGCCGACCATCCAGAAAGAAATGGCAAACTACTGGACGTAAAATTGCCTAGAAAAACCACACAACAGCCAGGGGTTGTTGGCGTTGGTTCTGCAACGTCTTGTAAGGGATACGCAACTAACCTATGCATTGATTCTCAAATTTCCCCATGTGGGTTCTGGGGCCCCATTCTAGAAAAGAAGGGGTGGGTGACCACTGCCTTTCTAACAAGCATGTCACAGAAGTGAACTAATTAGGGGTTTTCTTGTGAAGTCGGAGTGCACCCGCCTGCTAGACATGGATTAAACAGTTAGCTTACAAATAAGCCAGATCTGCCAAATGGATGTGCATGAACAATTGAAGTTCTAGAACAAGGCTAAAGACCAGAGGTGGATGAAGAACTAGAATTTTCCTGCAGAATTTACACAAGAAGAAGAAGAGGATTCTGAAATCCATCATTGTCTGGAGAGAATGGTGCAGAGGTCAGTGACCAGTAGATATGGCTGAGACTCAGCACTCAGAGGAAAGACAAAGACTTTAGACAAGACACACAATCAGACTGGTGATGGTACCATCAGAATTGTAACTGCGCTGAATCGTGTAAAATGGAGACAGAGTGCTTATGGCAATGCCCTAAACGCTGTGATGTCAGTTCTTAGCCAACTTAACTTGATGAAAAAAAATTATTAGCACACGAAGGGTGATGGGGTCAGCATCACGCAGGCCGACTTTACTTCCCGGCCGGTACCCACTCAATGCTGGGTCAACCTGGGAGTCAAGGTCATTTTTGAAAAAATCCGGCTCCGCCAGGGAACGAACCCACGACCTTCAGATCTGTACGTGAGCATCTAGCCGCTACGCCAGGTTGACTCCCGACTAACAAAGTGGTAACAAGTAAATGCCGGGTGAGTTGCTTAGTGCCGTCTCCACAATGAAGGATGGCTGCAATGAATCTCCAACCCTCTCCCTTATTCTGGCAGTACACTCTCATGCTGCTGTTTGTACATCTCTTTATGTTATCGTCCCACTTGTATCACTGTCTATCTCTTGCCTGTCTGCTTCAACTTCTCCCTCTGGTATAGTTTTATAAAAATGTCATGTCTTTTAATGTGTTGTTTCCACTGATAACTCAAGGGCATTGCATAATTAGGCTAAAATCTCTTTGACAGTGGCCAGCTGTATTCTCTTTTATGTCCTAAACAGACCCCATATTTGGTACACATTCTGCCTTTTCACTCTAGAAGCCCTTTGATCGTCTCTCTCAGTCTCCCTATGCCTCTTTTCTCCTCCAACTTTAATATTGCCACAATGTACTCAAGTTTGCTCCTTTTTGAGGCAGGACCAAACAATGTAGATTGTCTTCTTCTGATGTGGGCAATCAGGTCTCTTTGTGAGCTAGCTGACAATCCTCTTGGACCCGCCACAAAAGCCACATTCGTGAACCATATGACATAGTCCATGATACAAACCCTTGAATTTCAGAACATAGGGCAAATACCCACAAAGACCCTTTGGTTACAAAAATTCAGTGATTAAACCAATGACAATCAAGATGGTGAGTGAGAACCATAGCTGGCTAAAGTACCTCATCTCCCTATGTAGGTTTCAAAACCCCACTGTGGTAAAAAAAAAAAAAAAAAAAAAAAGAACAAACCCACTGTTTCCCTAACAAGCATGTCATAAGAGTCGACTAATTCGGGATTTTCTTCGAAGGTGGATTGTATCTGAATGAAAGGCAAAGAACCAACAGTCTGCATAAAAAGAAGCTGGATTTTAAAAACGGATGTGCATGTAAAACTAAAGTTGTGGAACAATTCTGAAGTCCAGCATTAGTCAAACAACCAGAACTTTCTGCTAGAGTTTACAGCTGGTGAATGTGAAGAAACAAACCAAAAAACTCTAGACAGTATGATAACCAAGAGAAGATGGAAATGGCTAGGCTTGAGAATGAATCATTATATGCCTGCCAAAACAGCTCTCACAGCGACATCAGAGGGAAAGAGAAAAAAAGGGCGCCCCAAAAAACAACATGGAGACAAATGATGGAGAGTGACCTGAATGCGGAATCTCTGAAATGGAAAACTGCACTGAAGATTGCACAGGACAGGGGAGCCTGGAAAGTCCTCTCTTAAGCCTTATGTGCCACTAGGCATAAAGATAACTGATGATTGATTATGATGAATGTGAAGAAGAAGAAGAAGAGTACCTCATCAACTTTTCCTGAGATTTTGTTTGACAATTCCTCTCCTCATCTTCACAGTTTTTGAGTATATCAGAGTCACTAGCTGCTCTGTGTCCACTGAAAGTGGTTGATTCTCCAGCCATGTGTTGAATGCTGGATGATTCTATCAGTGAGAGTTCTGCAGAAAATAAAAACACAAGCGATTTAAACACAGACACACACACACAAACTACTGCATCAAGGGCAGTTCAAAATTCTGACTCTACAGTGGAACCTCTGTTCTAACTTCAAAACTTCTATTTTCAAACACATTTTCTGGAAAACAAAAGGTCCAGCTTCCAAAAATGAAATTATATTTTTTACAGTAAAATCTTCTTCTTCTTCTTTGCGTTCAGGTAGTATGCACAGATGAGACCATCAGGTGGATTGCCTTTATGAACTTGCATTTCAGCAGCAGGTCTTTCATGGTTCCCCATAGCTGGTTCTGCACACTTTGCTCTTGAAGCCAGGTTTTATTTCGAAGTTGTAGGTAGAGTGTTCAGGTCTGCAGAATGTGCTCAAGTGTTTGCGATCCTGTCTGACAGGCACACTGTGGGGACTGTACAGTCTTTAATTTATGCATGTGGTACAGTAAAATCACAAACCAATACTTCAAAATGAAGCTATATCAGTTATGCCGGAACCTTCCCTCGGTTCAGATTCCCGTACAAATTTGAGATATTTTTTGCCACTTTTGTTCTGTGCCATTTTTGTTTTCAAAACGCTAGCTAACTTAATCTGCTTACTATCATTGTAGTTCTTCTTCTACCATTCATGCTAATCGTTCTGCCTGTGAATTCTTTAGAAGAAACAGTGTGATTCCATGTGGAAGCTATCATTGCTTACACTTATGGTTCCTATCACTAACACCATGCTCATGTATATTATATGTATGTGAACATTATGTTATTGCTTATGTCATTCAATTTTGTTGAGTAACGAGACATATGAGTGTCTGAAATTGTTATAATTCTTACACTAACAGTACAAAGTGAAATCTCTCATAAGCAGAATTCTCGCCAATCTTCTTCTTCAGAATTCCGATCCCTTGAGGTTCACTGCTGCAGATATCACCTGCCTCCACTCATCTCTCTGGTTTGCCCTCTCTTTCCAGTTGGTGACACCAAGTGTTTGCATGTCTGTCTGGATATGTTTTCTCCATCATCTTCTTGGTCTGCCTCATGGTCTTCTACCATTCATCTTTGACTTTAGAAAATGCTGAAGGGCATAGTATACTTTATTTCCAGATTGTATTCTAGATTGTATTTCTCACCATGGAGATAGAAATTATATTATAATCATTATGGGTTGGAACAAGTGTTACTTCACTAAGACCATATTTACTGATAGGTTAAGAACATTATTTGTCTGTAAATCTAGAATCACTGTTTTATTTTAAAATCAGATTACTGAAAACCTAAATGAGTTGAGTGCACTGTAACCCAGTGTTAGTACTTGTTAATATTTCAAATGTACAGTATTACCCACGAGGAGAAGATGGAAAAGTGGATTGGGACACATTGATTATAATAATTATATTTATATCCAAAATTCCTACAAGAGGATTAGGATATATATATATATATATATATATATTATATATCAGTAGGTGTACTCAAATAAGCAACAGTTACATTTATCCCTCTTTATCTCCTAACTGTCTGAGTTCCATGGAACGCATATTATACGTTCACACATTCTACCTAGAAGCCTAATGTACTCATGATACGCCAATTTTATGTCTCTCTTCCAATCAAAATGGACAAAAACTATCTATCAATGTTCAACTACGTGGCAGAGAGAAACCCAGCCTCAATGTAACAGTGTATCTATCAATGTTCAACTATGTGGCAGTGAGAAACCCAACCTCAGTGTAACAGTGTATCTATCAATGTTCAACTATGTGGCAGTGAGAAACCCAACCTCAGTGTAACAGTGTTTCTATCAATGTTCAACTATGTGGCATTGAGAAACCCAGCCTCAGTGTAACAGTGTATCTATCAATGTTCAACTATGTGGCAGTGAGAAACCCAGCCTCAGTGTAACAGTGTATCTATCTATCAACGTTCAAGTATGTGGCAGAAAGAAACCCAGCCTGATGATGATGATGATGATGTGGCAGATGGTTCCCAACACCAGTGGTACAACTCACAGGTCAATAGGGAGTGAAGGCTGCCTACGATGATGAACTCGTTAGTAAATGCAGTCTTCCATACATGTCCTACAAGGCAGCTAGGAAGGAAAAAATTTCCGATTGTCTTCCTCATCCTGAAGAAAATTTTAGCTGCAAAATTCAAACGACCATGATAAGCCAGTGTGTTGGGAAATGAACAGCGGACAGACTGGCTGGCTCTGCACAACTTGGTGGAATACTGATACATGATAAGGCAGAAGTGGTTAGTGCCTTGTGGGAGAGCGTGTACAGTTCAGAGGAGCAGATGGATCACCACCGTCTGGTGAGATTGATGCAGCGGGGAGTGACAAGAGGTTCTGGAAGATGCTCGAGGTTCAGAGGAAAGGCAAGATGGATGTTTAATCAGAAAGCCACTGGCACCATTAGTATCGGAACTCTTTACTGGCTGCTGAAGATGGGGATGGGGTGCTTAAGGAATGCCCTGAGTGCTGTGATGGCGGTTCTTGAATCAACTCAACTCAACTCCAGCATGTTCGAATCAGAAGTTCAACGCATGATTCATGAAATTTCTCGCCCAAGTGATGTGATTATCTATACAGATGGCTCTGTCTTAAGGGGCAGAAGAAGTGCATGATAGTTCATAGCAAAAGTGAAAGGACGTTGCGTAGTGCAACAAAGCCTGGTTTGAGAATAGAGGTGGAGGCAGTTACTACTGCCTTCCGCTGACTTGAGAATCATCAGTACACACATGCCGGGATTGTCCCTGACTCACAAAGCATGTTGACTTAGGTGGAGACAGGTATGATTCGTGCAGAGTGGCAAGCATCACATCAAAGGTCCTGGGTAGTTAGCATCCTTTGGATATTCTCTCAAGGTCATGCCTTGGTTTTGGGAAATGAGCAGGCAGATAGACTGGCCAGTTCTGCATTACTTTATGAGAATTTATGTACGACAAGCTAGATGTTGTTAGAGCCCTCTGGAAGGGAGTAAACAGTGCAGAAGTGCAAATAGATCATCTAAGGAGAATGGCGCTGTGAGGAGTTGCCAAGGGATCTGGCCGAAGCTCAACACTCAAGGGAAGGGCAAGATAGATATACAGACAGTTACTGGTGCCATCAGAATTGGAACTCTTCGTTTGCTGTTAAAGATGGGGACGGAGCGCTTATGGGGGTGTCCGGAGTGCTTTGATGTAGATTCTTAATTCAACATATGTTTGGAAACTGATGAGACACCCTGTAGAAAAAATGCCTATAGACACCCTGTGCCTCTGCAAAAGAAGACTAAGCACTTTGACTATACATGTCTACAGTAAAGTATATTCTAATTACAGTCACAGCAAATTATCCTACCTTGTTTTTCCAGCAGAGACCTTCTGTACTCATCCTTTAACAGTTCTATCACAGTCACTTTCTGCCTTGGATCTATGCACATATTAGATACAGCTGGAGTTCTCAGCTCCACGACCGTGCCCTCTGACGCTGTTTTAGTCAACAAAGGGTCATTCTGAGTGGAACTAACAGCTGCAGAGACAGATGTAGAGGAACCTGTATCCTCCTGGGATGAAAGCTGTCTTCTTAAGGCACTGTCTGAGTTCTGTAAAGGTATGTCAGCAGCATCATAAATCACACCCGAAGAGGAGATCGACACCTGTCCTGATGATGTTGCGGACAAAGCAGCTTGGGAATCCAAAGCCTGGACTTCACTAAAATCATCCTTGTATGTGCATAGAACATCATGAAATCCATTGGCAATGTTAGTGTCATCATCACTAAAGTCATCATCGTTAGACGTGAATAATTTTGATGGGGAGGGTTCTTTCTCACCCAGTGCTTGGCTTATATCCTCTGCTAGTCTTTTGAGATCCTCTTTAGTTAACTTTGGTGAGCTACTACTGCTAAGACTTCTCTCAACAACAGGGAGTGTCCCGTCCTTGGTGGAATGAACACTGGTGGAAGTCGGTGAATGCACGGATTTGTCTGGTGATGAGAGAGCCGGGCCGGAATCTCTACTTGCTGGTGGAATGGGTGGCTTGGAGGTAACTATGGAAGGGGAATCGCCTGTAGAGTGTATCTGCCTTACAGGTGCATGAAAACTCTGTGTAGGACTGGTAAGATTGGTTGTACTAGTCCTTTCAGGATTTGTGCTGATGGGTGATCCTGCCTTTAAGGCAGCAGGATGCGGTGGGCTGCTCAGTGTAATGCTCAGGGTGGACTTACAAACATCAGGGATGGACTCTTCACTGCCCCGGTTCATGCATGAGGTGGGAAACAAGGAGGCAAGAGAAGTGCTGTGTGATCTTTCTATTTGGCTTGCTAAAGTGGGACCTGAAACGGTCAGAGATATTGCAAATGAATTAATAAGCAGTCACAATGTTTTACAGGGGTGACACAGTAGTGCGCTGAGTAGATGCTCACCTGCTGGTATGAAGGCCTAGGGTTCAAATCTGCATCGAGGCAGAATTTTGTCAGAAGTGACCTTGGTTTTCAGTTTGATCCAACCTAACCTTAGTACCAGATAATGTTATGTTGACCACATCATCAACACAGTGACGAACGGCTTATAAAGAAATCGGCCTAGCATAATCTGCTGGCTGCACCTAAGGGAAAAAGGTTCTTTACATTTTTCGAACTGGTTAAGTGTTTATGTGTTTGCTTTTCCATCAAGGAGAGCTTTTTTGTTCCACAGGTTTTCTGAGTCAACCGAGGTTAGATGAAAATATGCTCTATAAAATTTTCTAGGATGCAAAAACACATTTACCACATAACCCACTGAATGCATATTGATTTAAAGATATTAAACTAGCACCATATACTTATTACACCTAATGGCAGGAAAAGTGGTCCTTGACTTTATTTGTGTGTAGATATATACTTTTTAGTTAGTCGTTACGGTTCTGGCACCGCAGCAAACGAGCTTGTCCCATAATTGCTCAACCGCCTATGCCAGTGATTCCAGTCACAAACTGAGTCAGATACGCTGGATACTTCAAGTGAATGCCGTAGCCATACAAAGTGTCCTCAATCAGCGAAACACACACAATTTGATCTGGCAAACCATAAGGTACATGCCTCATTAAACACACTGCGAAACCAGGCGTCACTGCTGAAAATCAATTTCATTCGACGAATAGCTGGGCGATGAGTAGATTGAAACTATTCCTGACCATTCTCCACATGTCTTCGGCCAAGTTGTAGCCACAGCCAGCAAATAAATAGCAGCTATAGCACACGCATTGTCCCGTGAATACAACGAGGACAAATATATCACCCATCATTGCCATTATGTACGAATCTGGAACTCAGTCAAAAACCGATAATCACAGCTCATAGTGCTGCCAGGAACACTAAACTCAGCAGCTCTAGCTGCAAACCGGACTTCCACAATCTTGCAACATCGAAACTGGAGGAGAAACAACATCAATGTTCCTATCAATGCACTCACATCCTACACGATGTGAACATTGAGAAGAACAGCCTTCTGTCCCAAAAGCTGAGGTATTTAGGTCATGTTAAACATCATGGTGACCTGGAGAGAGTAGTGATTGGGGGAGGGGGAGGTGTACAGTTTTGGGAAAACAAGACAAAGAACAACCTCGGCAAAGGTGTTTACAAGATGCTGATGCTGCACTGGCCTAAGAAAGCAGATATGGCTGGAGAATTAGCTAGTGACAGAGATTTCTGGGCACTCCGTGACATTCTGTAAAGAACCTGCTGACTGATGACAAGATACATTCTTCTGCGATCTAGAGATGTGTGCAAGCAAGATACGAATGACAGAAGTATTGAGGTGACTTTGTGGCAACAGGATGCAACAGCCTGCACTGCATGGAGGGGAACAAAAAAAAAAAAAAAGGCAGGGAAAAGGGGCAAAGAAGAAAAGGATTATACACAGTGTGAGTGTCTGAGAAGAAACATGTCAAAAACAGACATGATGGCAACAACTGTGGAAGATTCTTTTTAACTCTTTGAGTCCAAGGGGGTTTAGCACCAGAGTCCCGAGGAGTAGTCAAGAGAGACGTAAAATCGACGCATCTTGCGTTCAATGGGCTTCTATGTAGGAACCTATGATCATATGATGCATTCCTTGGAACTGAAAAAGTTATTAAGTGCAGGAACTCTTATTATTAGGTGGCTCTGTATTGAGGGGCAGACAAAGTACATGGGGGTTCTTAGCAAAAGAAAATGGCTGTCATTTAGCGCAGCAAAATCTGGCATATGATGTCACAATAAATGAGGTGGAGGCAGTCACTGCTGCCTTCCGCTGACTTGAGAATCAGCTATACGCATATGCCATGATTGTAACTTACTCACAGAGGACGTTAAGAAAGGAGGAGACAGGCATGCTCCGTGCAGAGTGGCAAGCATCACTTCAGAGGTTCCAGGAAGTTAGCTTTGAATATTTTCTCCAGGTCATGCCAGTATTGGGAAATGAGCAGGCAGACAGACTAGCTGGTTCTGCACTACTTGGTGAACTGATGTATGACAAGCTAGATGTTGTGAGGGCCCTTTGGGAGTGAGTGAACAGTGCAGAGGCACAAACAGATCATTGGGGTCTGAGGAGAATGGCACTGCAGAGAGTTACCAGGGAATCTGGTCAACGCTCAACACTCAAGGAATGAGTGATACAGATATACAATCAGACAGTCACTGGTTCCATTGGAATTGGAACTCTTCGCTTGCTGCTGAAGATGGGGGAGCTCATGAGAGTGTTCCGAGTTCTATGATGTCAACAACAATCATCATGAAAGAGTTAACACGAGCTCGGCTTGCTAGTCACATTTGCCATCACCATGCCTCTCTGTAGCACAATGGAACAACATCGTCTGAACATTGCTAACAAAATTTATGTTTATGTAGTGTATCCATATGTGCATTTATACATCAGCATCTTACTGAGCGCCATTCCTGTGAGTATAGGTTGTTACGTTTCGCCATCTCACATGATTACCAGAATCACGGATAAGTACAATGTCTTTATCGTCACATCAACTAGCCAAGCCATCCGGGTACTTATCTCTTTGCCTTCCTTTTGCCCTCTTTCAATCAATTTTGTCAATAGTTACTAAGTTCTCCAGTATTATCTTATCCAAGGTATTTGTAACATTCGTCTCAGAAACCACATCTCTGCTGCTTCCAAACTCTTCTTAATTTGTTCAGTGACATTCCAAGATTAGCTGCCATACAGCAGAACATGTTCTATGTAACATTTAAGCACCCTCTTTATACACACATATATGCACTAAAATCAAACACTTTAACAAACCCATGAAACTGTCTGGTAAATCAGGACTGAATGTGCCAAGCTGGACAGCGCTTGCTGGCTCCATCTTTCTGTACCCTATAAGGGTGGCCCCAGTGGGAGCTGCTGACACCCGGTCAAGCTTGGTGTTGGCTGTCTCTGCTTCATTGCAGTAGTAGGATGATGGGCGCTTGAATCCCTCTGGTTTCATGTTCTTTATAAATGTCTTTGCTGATGGTCGTTTCCGCACGTGAGGAGAGGCACTCCGGTCACTGGCTAGTGAGGATGAAGAGTTTGAAGAGGACCGCTGTCGGGGAGAGCCTGTGATACTGCTATCTGTTGCAGAAAGAGTTGCTTTCTGGTAGGTATCTGAGAATACAAAAATGGTACAATAGAAATTGAAATATATCATAACACTGTTTAACACTTCCACTAAAAAAGGATAATCAACATGGGGGAATACCCCCCCCCCCCCCCCCCCCCCCAAAAAAAAAACCTCCAAAAATAAAAACACAGCTATTTTGCGCAAGTAACTAATAAATTGTTAAAAATAATTTAGCTTCCTTGGCTTCCAGGTCAGTCTAGCCCTAAACAGGTATCAGTAAAGTCCTGGGAAGTAAAGGTGACCAATGAGATGTTGATCACATCACCCACAGTGTGCCGATTGGTCTTTCAAATACAGAACTAGTAATATTTGCCCAACATGCCTGAAGGTGTGGAAAAGAGTCCTTTACTTTGGGTCTCCATACAGTTGCTGTTCCAGTAACGATCTCCAGGCTACAGGCACCAATGAAATGAAGGACAGTCCAAACTGAAGACGCAGCAGTCAGAGCACAAAGCAAATAAATAGTTGAACCAGTTTGCCATGCAGAACCCTTCCAACACAGGTAAAACATAACATACATAACATAACCCTTGACCCATTAGGGTCATGGAGGTGTAGTGATGGAAGCACTAGTACATAAAACCCACCATCTTTCTCTGTCTTCGGCTTGATGAATAAGTGTATGATAACTTAGTCCTGCCCATTTCTTGATGTTGTTATTACAGGTTCTTCTTTGCCCTCCTCTTCTTCGACTACCCCCCCCCCCCCCCCCCCCCATCCTTGAAGTACAGTCTTTGCAATCGAATCAAGTCTCACTACTTGTCCTAACCAATCTAGCTTGCGACGTTTCACCACTGCCAAGAGAGGCTCCTGATAGCCCGCAATTTTGTATATTTTGTCTCTGACATATTTATTAGTCTTGTGTTCTAAATAACTAATGTGTAAAATATGTCTGAAGCATCTACATTTGAAAGTCTGAATCCTCCTTTCCATTTCCACAGTGAGAGTCCAACAATGGAAGTACAACTGTCACAATTTCAGGAATATGTATTACTGTAGGACATATCAGTTAGTTGACATAAGTTAATGACTGTTTGCATTAGTTTGAAAGGTGCATGTTTGTGCATCAGTGTAAGTCATCTGCACCAGTTTTGAATGAGACACTGAAGGGATAAGGAAGGATAATGATGGTTAGGAAGTCAAAGTTAGAACTGACACATACTGACGTTTGCTTTTTCTCCCTATGTGTATTCACCACAGTCTATTTCAATGAAATAACTTATTCAGTCAAAAGCTAGTCACCATGCATTTGCTGAGCTTTCTTACATTATACGTAAGTGTAATTTGGATGTTTTCTCCAGGTCATGCTGGTGTGTTGGGAAATTAGCAGGCAGAGAGACTTGTTGGTTCTGTACCACTTGGTGGCAATTTGATGTATGATAAGCTAGATGTTGTGAGGGCCATGTTGGAGCGAGTGAACAGTACGGAGGCACGAATGGATCATTACGGTCTGAAGAGTATGGTGCTGCGAGGAGTTACCAGGCGATCTGGCCGATGCTCAACACTCAAGGAAAAGGCAAACTTAGCAACAACAACAAAAACAAACAAAAAAAGAACTGAGGAAAGAGAAGAAAAAAGAGGATAAGTAATGTCAATACTTACGAGGGGCAGGTGGAGGTGCAGGGACATCATGATAAATGTCCTCAAATATTATTGGCAAGGTATTTTCATCACCGTCCAACTCCACACACTCAACAGGAAGTGACGGTAAGTTAGAGAAATAAGGGGAATTCTTCACCAGGCTGGCCAGTGCTGAGTGACCATGAATC